AACATGCAGTTTCATGGATGCCAGGAACCGATTTCAAATTTGTCACCTGGTGCCAAGCTATGGCTAAGATATAATTACTTACTCAAAAAAATGTAATGGCCAGTCCAAAATCAGCTGTATACTATTCAAAAAACTGGCAATGTAAAATCTGTTTTCTGATTAGAATTTTTAACAAGAAAGTTTAAAAATACAGCGGATCTCCTGTGATTTACCTTTGCACTCAGGTTGTCTTCCTGTCCAACTTCCATTTGCCATACATGTCCTTTCTTCTGAGCCATGGAGGATATATCCAATATCACAGCTGAAATGTACCGTGCTTTTAATTTTAAAATTGTTTTCTTCTCTAGACCCATGACCTGGGATACCTGGATCACCACAAGAACCAGCTGTATCACCTAGAATTTAGAGTGAAAAGATTAGAATAAATACAAAATATTATTATGATACTGCATTTAAAATATGTATTTCTATGTATTTCTAATTTTTTTTTTTTAAAGTAAAAACCTTATATCTAAGTGGGTAAAAGTCCCTGTAATTACAAAAGTACTTGACTGTCAAATAATTTATTTTTACTTATTTTATATAAGTACAGAACAGAAATTATAAATAACTCAAGATTCGACTTAGACCATGCTGAACTTTTAGTAACAGAATCATCAAATAAGAACAGGGAAACAAAAATAAAGCCTTAAACCCTTGGTCATTTTTCATTTAAAATAAAGAATTCTGAGGAAAACAAAAGTCCTGATCATAAAGACAATTTTCTTGTTTGCCTATAACAAGTGCTCATAAAATGCTTCCTAGTTTTATGATGTCATTAGAGTTATAACAGTTTTACCATTGAATGAAAGCTTTAGTCAACAATTTTATGTACATCTGATATGAAGCATTTCCCCTATTTATAGAAATGTTGAAAATTCAATTCAAGACCACCTGATAACTAAAGTCTCTCTCAGCTAGAAATGTTTAAACAAATTCTAAGATAGAAGATTAATGTTTTCTACTATCTGTTGTATATCAACATTAATATAATCAACATAGTAATACCAATAATAATAACAACAACAACAATATCTAAGATTATACCTCTAAGGATTATACTTCTATGGCGAGAACTTTAGGTAACACTATTTGCACAGCAGGTCTGTTGCTTAAATCTTTTAATAAGTACTTAGGATCTGCTGTTTTATCTTTTTAAATCTCTTTAAGCTAGTTTTCCGTATAATAAGAAAGGAAGGTATTGTATTACTGAGTTTCAACACAAAAGAATTGAATTCTAGAATTATTCAAGCTGCACTGTTCAGGTTTTCATCTATAGATATTTAGCTTGTGATTTTCTGTGACAACTTGCAAATAAACTTAACTGTCTTCTATGCAAAAAATAATTCAAACATCATAATATTTTTGAAAGCGTATCTGCATTATTTTGTACTTAGTTACACTAACATAAATAAGGAAGAAATATTTTAAGAATCATCTAGAAAGCTTTAAATCAACTACTGAACAATGTCATATTATAGCTTCACATTAGAGCTAATCATATTAAAAAAATTGCACAAATTATGTAAAGAATGCATTCTGTAGAATAGTCATACTTTTCTGGTATTTATCTAAGCTTAAACAGCAGTAATAAGAGAGGTTCTTACACAGCAGTAATAAGAGTTCTTAAACAGAAGTAGTAAAACGAAGTTGTCTGCTCCAAGTACCCAGATAGACCAAAACTGACAAACTCACTATCTCGGGTTCTCTGGAAGTTAGGACCCCGGAGTTGTAGGTGCAGAATAAAACAGAGCTTTCCTTGCCTTGGCTGTCACTGTGTGTAAACTATATTGTTGGAGTGACTGGTTGGACACATTTCTCTATTAACAAAAGCATGTACAGAACTACATGATAGTGAAACGAAGAAGAGCAGAACTAGCTTGCTTTGAGAATTATGGTGTATGAGCAAATATTTGGTTTAGTCCAATACATCCAAGAAGCTGACTATATTTTTGTTACTTATGAAGGCAGTTCATGTTCCAACCCGCAGTTTTATAAGTCACGCTTACTACTTTTTATTTCCTTTCATAGAGGCCATTCTTTCTTCCTTCCACAGAAACTCACTGAAAAACAACACAACTAAGGACCTCCCAGGAGCTGATCTGCACAACTCCTATAGGTTTGTGGGAAAAGAGAATGCAGCTATGGAGCCTCAGTCTGAAGGCACATCTCAACAGTCAAAGAAAAGGGCAAAACTTTGCTTGGAAATGCAAAAGACAACAAAACTGGCAGCTCATACTACTTATCCAACCCCTTGCTGAAGCAGCTAATAAAGTAGGCTAATTGTGAACTACTCTCACTAATTTAGGAGCAAATTTTATCATTGCTTAACTTAACCAAGCTTAAACTGACACCTTTTATTTGAGAATAATCAAACAAACTAATGTAGTCATGCCTATTACATTGTGAACTTTTATAGCGTGTTATGTGCAAAAAGTACATGGTCTTATATATTTTAATGATTTCAGAAATAACAAAATAACTCAAGTAAATATGAGAGTTAGGTGACAGGTTCAAAATCACAGACTCAAAAGTTTAGTCTTCTCTGTTTATCCATTTCATTACGTGACAGACATCAGTAAAGCAGCCTGCCAGCTCTGTTTAAAAAGAAATTGCAAACAGTTCCAAATTATAGTACATAAAAGCACTCTATAAGCTTTCAAAATACTTCATATTCAAGCTACTTAGGTGACTTAAGAACCCTCTACTTTGGAAATAGTCTGTTAGAAATTCTTATAATAATTTAAATATACCCTAGATCAAGATATTTTTGTTGTTGTTGTTGTTATTTTGGCAATCCAGATCTTATATTTTCCAGTATTATTTATTTAGACTATGAAGAATTTGGGACAAGGCCTATTAATCATTCTATACTTGTAAAGTCTCTACAATAACAGCTCAGTTTTCAGCAAGTTACTTGGCATTACGCTTAAAATAATTTTATGATGGAAAAATGAAAATAGACTTTTTTCTATGCCGAGTGTAAATTACATATTCTTCCTGTAAGTGAAATCATATGTTCTTCCCTAATGCCTAATTATTATTGTGAATTATTACTCTTTTAATGTTAGGGAGGTTAACCACCAGCTCTTTTGATTGAAAGTTACAGAAATAATTTTTCTAAATGACTAATCACATCAGGAAGTGACAATGATATCATCAATGATATCATGACAGAACATATTTTTATTACCTCATACAGTGATTCAACTAAGTGATTTTCATAATCAGTTACGAGCCATCCTTCACCCACATGTGTAGCATTCTCAGCTGACATGTAATCTTGATGAAAAGGAGGGTATTTAGACCACTTCAGTAAGTACACAACCATCGTTGCACTTATGAGGAATTCTAAGTTGCTGTGAATTTCTGACTCCAGCTGATAGGCATGTGATGACTGAAAACAGTATTTGTGAATGTCAACAGATGTCAACGTGACATGACAATTCCTTCTAGCTCTAGGATGGGAAACAAAGTGTCATGTGACAAAAAGGAAACTGTCTTAGGGATGACAAAATTTGGTTACCTTACATTTGCTGACCTAGCATTTTCTGTTTAAATTCTTCTCCATATATGAAAAGGACAGGTATGCTCTATCTTTTGTCAGTTGAACATTCTATGTTGTCTATTATTAAGATCATCAACAAAAAATACAAAGTTTAAGGTTTTAATATGTATTAAAAATGAAGACATCAAGTTATCAAGACTAATAATGAAAGCTAATGATTTTGCATATTTTTAGATATAAAATAAATTATTTTAAAATGAGAAAGTATTTAAGACATACACTTTAAAAACAAAGTTTCAAAGTTGTCCTAAACTAGAATTACAGTTTGGTAGAGTACATCTAAAAAAATAACAGTTTGTATTCTGTCACAATTTGATTTGCTATGTATAACATTTGAATCTGTGTCAAAGAAATGTTTCTTCATGTATTGAGAAACATTCATTAGATCTGATTAGAATTGCCTATCTGTGGGTACAAAAATGGACATTAGAAAAAAAGGATTTTCATCTACCTCACTTACGAATGCTTATCCCAAGATATCTGAACGCTTATTTAACAGGAGGATGATTATACAATAGCCTTATTTTCAGTAAAGTCTCTTTGATTTTTTCATGTACATTTTCAGTCTTCCTATTTGTATTCCTTGATATTTTTGTCTACAAAAAATAGCCTCATATTTTATCTCAAGAAGATTTTTTCCCCCCGAAAAAATATGTATTAATACTAGCTGTAAAAACATATTTGCTTAACCTAGTTTGAATTTGCAATTCACATAAATATATCATCATCTTTAAGTAATATTTTTTTACATTAAGCTTTGATTTCCCGTGCATAGCTCTAAACATCACAGGTTATAAGAACTTGATTGTTGTTCCCATTGTGGCAAATTTTCCTCTGACTTTACTGATAGAAAGTTAAGGGATTAAATTAGATGATTACATTTTCTAGTTTCTGCCACATTTTAGGTTTTAATGGTACATTATTGAAAGAAAAGGGACTCATAGAGCAAGATAATAACATTTAGATTGCCCTTATCTGCAGCCACTTCCTAAAATTTTGCAGCGGAAGGTTCAGATACTGAAAAATTCTTCCAGCCCTTTGGAAGTTAGTGCAAGATTCTAACCAAGAAGCACTATTTTAGTATTTGTTACTAATTTTTAAACATTTCTGTGCTGTGACACATAAAAAAATGCATATACTGAAACTGTAGCTGACATAATCAGTTTATACCTGAAAACACTGAAGAGATGAAGGTAGAAAGAAAGAAAAAGGATTGGAATATGTGAGACTCCACCTGGAGTACTGTATCCAGTAGTGGGTTCCCCAGTACAGGACAGACATGGACCTTTGATCAGAGGGTTGGAACACCTCTCCTATGTAAAAAGGCTGAGAGAGTGGGCCTTGTTCAGCCCGGAGAAAGGAAGGCTCCAGGGAGACCTGATTGCAGCCTTTCAATATACAAAATATGTAAGAAAGATGAAGAGAAACTTTTTAACAAGGCCTGTAGGATAATGGCGTTAAACTGAAAGAGGGTAGGTTTGGATTAGATATTAATAAGAAGTTCTTCACTGTGAGGATGGTGAGACACTGAACAGGTTGCCCAGAGAAGTTGTGGATGCCCCTGGAAGTTTTCAAGGTTAGGATGACCAGCGCTTTGAGCAACCTGGTCTTAGTGGAAGATGTCCCTGCTCACTGCAACATGGTTGCAATAGAAAAATTTTGGAGGTCCCTTCCAACCCAAAACATTCTATGATTCTGTGATACTAGTGGAAGGTGTCCCTGCGCATGGCTGGGAGGTTGCACTAGAGGATTTTTAAATGTCCTCTCTGACCCAAATCATTCTATGAT